GGTGAAAGAAGCCAGGTCATCGGCAGTTATGAACAACCACTTGCACTTAAGCCAAGGCAACTTCTACAACCCCAGGCTCAGCTCTTCCCGGAGGCTTGTAGAGTCGTGCAGTTGACTAGAACTTTCTGCAATGCCGAAATGCCCTCTCTCTCTGTGCTACCCCAAACAGGCACTTGAAATGTAGCCAGTATGACAGAACAACTCAATTTAAAATTTTATTTTAATTACATTTAAATCCAGCCACATATGGCTAGTGGCTGCCATCTTGGCTAATGCAGCTATAGAGAGACGTAAGTTAGAATCATGGAAAACAGCAGGTCAGGTCAGGAGTAAGACCTTTTCCTCCAGCTAAGGGTCCTGAGGTATTTCCTTCACTTTTACCACAGAGAAGGCTCTCTGCATTGAGAGAGAGCCCGTCAGTGGCTTCCACAGTCCAGAACTGTGATCTAGTGCTGAGGAAGGTGACTGCAGTTAGCGCTACCATATAGTGAAGGTCTACATTTCAAAATGGTTGCGGAGGGGTGCCTGGGTGGCTCAGTGGTTAAAGCCTCTGCCTTTGGCTCAGGTCATGATCTCAGGGTCCTGGGATCGAGTCCTGCATCGGGCTCTCTGCTCAGCAGGGAGCCTGCCTCCTCCTCCTGTCTCTCTCTGCCTGCCTCTCTGCCTACTTGTGAAATGTCTGTCAAAAAAAAAAAAAAATCTTTAAAAAAAAAATGGTTGCGGAATGGGCTGCTTGGAATCCTTGAAGAGTATAAAAATAGTAGAAATTCTAGGGATTCCATCTGTTGACATATAGCTGAGGTAAATAAAACCTAGAGGACTAAGATATCTTACCCAAGGTCACATGAAGTTGAATATTTCTGCTAAAAAAAGTTATCACTTATAATAAAACAGGTTACCAGTTATCAGTTCTCAAAGTTAGAATGCACAGAAATATAATTAACACTAAAACCAAGCTGAGTGCAACTTAATCTTTGTGATTCAGGACAGAAGAATAGAAAAAATTCCCGTTGTTCAAGCTAGCTGGTGGTTTAAATCCTATCTAAATGGGGATAATGGCCTTTAACATACAAAATTAATGTCACAGTCCCCATTTATGAGTTCCACTTATCTAACAGGGGAGGTGGGAGAATGTAAGAGCTGGTTGGTGGTAATCCAATTTTCTTCCAATCTTCCTATATGAGACCCATACTGTTTATTTGCTTAGGATCCTAGGGTACCCCATATTTGGACACATTGCCAGGCATTCCAATCAATAGAGCCATTAGTTTTAGCCAGTTGTCCTTCAGCCAAGTTCAGGAAAGGACAAATTTCACTTCGTTAATATATAACGTGGGAAGCGCTGGTGACTACTTTTGATCTTGGAAAACTAAATCTTAATGCACGAGCAGCTGACGGTCCCACAGTAATCTAACAGACAATCTAACTTCTTTGGTTAAGATGATGAGTCCTCTAATACAGTCCATCTGTAGTGAAGTCTGTTTTTCTTTTTTCATTTTCAATCTACTGTGGACTAATAGTTCTGTAAAATGCAACAACACTGAAATAAAAACAGGAAGAAGAGTCCTACAAAATACCAGGCTTAATTTATTATTACTATTACATTCATCAGCTATAAACATTATTCTGTCAAATGCTGTAACTGTTGCTAATTGCTTACTCATAATTCCTGTACTGTTCAGACCAGTGACCGTTTGCAGTCTGGCCCGAGGACCAGACTTTGGGCAGCGTCACTCTAGTATCTATCCATTCTGCAAGGAAAACACACAGGTGATTGTACTACAGAGGTGGATTTTTTTTTCTTTTTAAAGGAAGCTCTACGCCTAGTGTGGGGCTTGAATTCACGACCCCAAGATCAAGAGTCACGTGCTCTACCGACTGAGCCAGCCAGGCGCTCCTAGAGAGTGTTATGTTCGAGGAAAGTAAGATCAGCTAATTGGTTGAGGGTCTCCCCACTTGGCTCATTTCAGATCTGGGTCATTTTGGGCCATGCCTGTTCAGGGCTTCTTCCCACCACATAAGAAGCAGGGTCTTTGGGCTGAGACTGGGCCACTGCATCTTGAGCTCTTTTTTTCTACCCTGGCCCTCCTGAGCAGCCCGTTTCAGATATCAAGAACTAACATTTAGTTTGAATGGAATGATGGAGGAGGAAACACTTAAGAAAATCAGGTGAAGTCCTATGAAAGGTAGCCTCACAGACTCTTTGTCCTGCTAAGAAGACTTTCATTTTCTTTGATCTCTGCCTGGATTTGTAATCTGAAAATATTACTTCCAATTCTCCTTGGACTGTGGCCTTGGGCCCGGTGAGTACTGACTATACCACTCTTTAATGACTTGAAGTGTTTCATGATTACATGTTTCCCTTGATGCACATTGATGGGCTCCTGCTTAACAGTCCTTGTCTCTATATCTTGGCAGATAAGTCCCTTGAGCACGATATAAGCTGTTTGGCATGTGGCATCAAATGGTCTTACTTCCCCTGAGCTTGGATTTTGGTTTGTTGTAGGGGGTGGTAGATTGAGTTAATGTGGCCAAGAAAACCGCAGGAAATTTTCTACCTGTTTTTCTTTTACTCCGTCTGTTCATTTTTATCTTGAGTAATTTCATGATTTTGGTTTCTACTTGGAATTTGTCATCTTAAAAAAAACTGCTATCCAGCAGTTTGGCTACTTTGCTTAATGAGAATATACTTAACCATAGAAAAATATTGTGATGGATGGATAACAATAGCTTCTATTATAAAAAAGATACTTTTTCTTTTGAAGAAGTCTAAGAATATTATGCAATTTGTTTAGGCTTAAAGAAATCTATGTCTAAAGATTCCAGGTTGTCTAAGCAAAGTCACCCCACGTGGGTTTTGGCTGAAGCCAAGTTTTCTCATCCTCTCTGTACGGACACCCACACTAAAGCCGACTGCAGGGCGTTAATGGCCGCTGGCTGCCTCGGGGCATCGAGGGTATGAACAGCTTGCCCAGTTGTACAGGTGCTACCCTAAACTGTCATACGCAGACCAGAATAAAACAAATAGGACCTCTGCTTTATCAAACTCCTGACTCTACCATTTCCCCAAATACAGCCCTCTGCTGTCTATTCCTCTCACATCCACTCCTGACGGTTGCATGATTCACTTCCCAAGTTCAGTTCCACAACTCAAATATTTTCTATTTTGCGTTTCTCTTTGCCTCAAATTCAACAGACCCAAAATAACACCAATCTCAATCTTCGAGTTGGATGAGATCCCAGGGGACATCCAATTTTGACTTTCATGGCTACATGAATAGCATTTATGAAGCTTCCAAGAGGGGTTCTCTAATCCCTCCTGTTACGGCTCCAGCTCGAGGGAACTCCTCTCTTCCCAGAGCAGCCATTTTTGGTACTTCGCTTCCAATACCAATTCTCTGTCCATGTTTTCCCAGCCGGCAAATATCCTCCTCTTTCCAGTTCCCAAGCCCTGTTAAGTCCGCACCATCCGATGAGACCCCAGACCCTTCATTTCTAATCAAGCATAGGATTGTCAGGCCTATGGCTCCCTCTCCAAGCCCCACAGTTCCTAGCATGCACTAGGTCATCAGTAATTAATGGCTGATTAGTTGACACTTAAAATCAAGAGTTCAACCTTAGAAGATGCGCGTTTCTTACTTTGAACCTTGTGCTTCGTGGGATGTTTTTGACCTAAGAGCTAGATGAGAATTTCATCAGGTTAATCATAAATTAGAAATAAAACTACAGTTGATTAGCAGATGAAATGATAATTGTATAGTTTGTACATCATTGAAAGACTCCCGTGGAGAGAAGAGTGCTGTAGGCGATGGGAAATGACATTGCAGAGAAATATTGGTGAAACTGACCCAGCTCACAGGAGCGAGCTCATTCTTTGAAATTTCTCAGATTCTTCTTATCCTTTCCTGTGCAGACTGAGTCTAGCTTTCCTAAAATGAACTTTCGTGTTCTACCAGTAATGCTAGCATCTTAAAATTTCATTAAACATGCAAAACACTGAACCTTTGGTAGCCAATTTTATTTTCAAATGATTTCAGTCAGATGGCTAGCAAGAAGGACTACTGTATTTTATATGCCATTTCCTTATATACCTGAAAACAGAACTATGCTTAAGGATTAGTTATGGGTAGTTCATTAAGGCCCAGATTCCTTTCTGATCCAAGAGCTAGCATTAGAAGAAATAGCTTAGAGATGAGTGAATCACCAGTTATTAGACCAAATTTCCAAAAGCTGCGCTGTAGCAAAAATTGCTAAAAACAGGATGACTTCTGCTGTTTAGAAGCTGGACTGTAGAAAGCCTGTGGGGTAGGCAAATTCCTCTCCCTTCTCACCCTTCACTTAGAAGCGCAGTAAGTTAAAGGAATGCAGCATTACACTACTTCCCGGAGGATTCAGTGAGGGAGAAATGAATATGAAGGATAAGGAAAAGGACTCTCTCCTATTTCAATCTGTAACAACACAAAACAGATACTCAAGCACGTGTGAGCACAAGCATGTTCATGGCAGTACCGTTCGCAGCAGCCAGAAGGTGGAAACCGCTCAGGTGTCCATCAACAGACAAGTGGGTAGACAGATTATGGGCTGTACAATGGGACATTATTCTGCCAGAAAAGGAATAAATAGATCCATGCTATAAGGCAGATGAACCTGGAGAACATTCTGCTAAGTGAAAGAAGCCAGACACAAAATGCCATGTATCCTATGATTCCATTTAGAGGAAATATCCAGAATAGATCAGTCCACAGAGACGAATGCAGACTGGTGGATGCCAGGGGCAGGAGGTGGGATGGGGGAGTGGAGGGAGACTGCTTCATGATAAGGGGTTTTACTTCGGAATCCTAGGAATGTTCTGGAACTAAGAGAATGGTGGTTGTCCAACACTGTGAATGTACTAAATGCTACTGAATTGTTCCCTTTAAAATCGTTAAAAAATAAAAACAATCAAGTCTTAAAACCAGACCCTTGCCTCTAGAATTCTCTCCACCATGTTTTACACTTACCTTGCATACCATGGATGTCTTTGCTCCAAGCCTGGCAGCTTGGACACACTGGTTGGCACCTTTCCCTCCGAAGCCAATAAAAAACTTATGTCCATGGATGGTTTCTCCAGTTTTGGGCAAACGAGAAGTAAGACTGCCATAATTTAAAAAGAGAAGGAAAAAAAAAAGGCACATCAATTTAAGTTCTTCAGAAGAGAGAGGGAAGGTTCTCTGATGGGAGTCTAGTTCTAGCAATCAGAAATGCAAGCAGAAGCAGAGTAGATCACTTTTTCCTTTAAGATAGCATGTGGCAGTTGGCATCACGACCCAGAATGCATCTGCTGACAGGATGTCTTTCTGTCCGCCCCCCCCCGCATTCTGCATGGTCCCACAGCCGCGCTACTGGAGAGCCACTTCAGATGACAGTTTCTAGTGCCTACTGCATCAGGGGTACTCATGCGTGCCTCCATTTTCCATTGTGGGGAGCTCTTACAGGGAAGTCCCTTCTGATTCTCACTTCCCAGCGCCCAGCACAGACCTTTATTCACAGTGGGATAAGTTAATGTGTGTTTCTGTACAGGTTTATCTGGTCACTTTAACAAGAAGCAGGAAGCATACCAGGGTTCTGGTAACCATGCTGAGGACCTAAGGAGAAGAGGGAAGTTGCAATTCTAGGCACTCAGGAATCCCATCTGTTTCCTGGCAGGTGGGGCAGGAGTGGGTTATGACTTCGATGGCACGATCAAGTCGTAGTCTCAGTCCATCCTGTATCCCACCCATTTCAGGTACTAACTCAAAAAGAGCATCTAAGCATCTATTCTTAAAAAATGGAGTCTAGAGAGCTAAGTTTAGTTGAAAATTTTTACTATAGAAAATTTCAAACCTATAAAACTAGGGAAAACAGTACATTGACTTCCCTAGCCCCAAGCACTCATCCCCCAGATTCAACCACTGTCAACTCCTAGCCAACCCTGCTTCAGTCTCTACTTTCGTGGACTCCTCCAAGAGCGAAGGAGTTTTACTCACCTGTTACTCCCTGGTGAAAGTAGTAGCAGAGGAGACAAAAAGTCAGAGTGAAAGGTTTTCTCTAGGGTATGATTTTCATAACATTAAAGTGGAAGATGTGAAGAAACAACATCTTTGAGGGACAGAAGATGTGAAAATGGAGAGAGTCCTGTGTGTAAGGGTAAGTGAGGAAGATGGGCTTGAGTAGCATGAGGACTGGATGGCCACAAAGAAGTGGGCTGAGGGCCAGATGGAGTGCCGGCAGGTGTGACCAAAAAAGGTTAAGTAGCTTTAGATGGGAAAGAAAGGCCAAGAGGGGAGTTCACGAGAGTAAGTCGATTGAGAACCTACTCTGTTTTGGCAGATCTGAAATTTACATTCATTTCCCACCTAGCCTGTGATCTATTTAAAACCAGTCTCTTACGCCTAATGTTAGAGTACCAGGACAATGCCAATTCCTACAGGTCACTAAGAGCCTGTTTGTAATGGAATGACTTATGACCGATGCTAGTAACTCACAATGGTGTTGATAATGACCAAGTTCAACCTGGGCACCTCCTTTATGTGGTTCTAAAAGTCTCAGGAGATTGGCTAAACTACTCCATTCCCTAGCACTGCAGTGTCAAATATGGTTATTTGAGATTCAAGAGAGACTCATCAATAATTTGAAAACATTCTATTCCACTCCTCCCCTTTTCAGTGCTATTTTTACCTCCTATTCTAAATGCATTTATAGTACTGATGAAAAAAATATCCAGCTACAAGTTCACTTCTGAAAAAGGTACTCAATCAAGAGAAAAATGGTTTTAATGTAATGTTATTATCCTGTCATTTAATTTAGCAGTGACAAGTGATGATGAGATTTTGATTTGCATCAGAAATCTTAAACATTTTAGGATTCTGTTATGAACAGGCAATGATGACTAATCTGTGCGACTGAGTAACTATGTGAATTCTTGGCTTATTGACGCTGTTACCAACAACATCCATAACAATTTTAAAAAGAAAAAATATCCAGTGTGGCTAAAAACAGGCCAAATAACTGAATTAGTAAGATGGTCGGTATAGAAACTTACGACTTTCACTATATTTATAGTTAGGTCTGGGTCACAATACTCTGGTTTGAATCAAGTGTATTTTTTATTATTGGCTGTGGGAAGTCATGAAAAATAGATCAGCAGATGATTATTGGGATGTGTATGTATGGGATGGAGGAGTGAAATCAGGGGTACAGTGTTATGTGTTTGATGTGGGAGCAGATGGCTGGGATTTCAACTCCTTTCTAAACAATTTATATTAACACAAGCACTGTACTAATTTAGCCATCACTGAAATTTCATCACTGAAATTTCTCCCTCCTTGGGAATTGTACTCTTTTCTTTCTGCATTTATGTCCGACTCTTCCTTCCTTCCTTCAATTGTAGACTCTCCCTGTATGCAGACAAGGACCAAGTCTGTCCTGTTCTCCATTTTATCCAGAGTGCCTGCCACTTAGCAATGGGCTTAACATATTTTTTTAACTGAGTGAATTTTTTAAAGAGACTTCCCTTGTCTCCTTGAGGGGTAGGAGAATATGACTGGAGGAGCTCAGGACAGGACAAAGCTGGCCAAACAGACCATTTTGGTGTACTGCTGATGGTGAGCCGTAGGCACATGAAAAGGAGCAAATGGTGGGAGAGGCTTTCTCTGACCTGCTCCTTGTCTGCCTCAAGACCAGTTCCCCAAAAGGACTCTGCAGCCATGAATCCCCTCCCTGGGAGTTTCATCTACCAGCAAGGATGGACTCCTATCACAGGTGAGAAGTCACTACCATACCCGGACAATTGTCACAATCATTGTCATACCTCCTGTTTATAAAACCGAGGGCCAGTCCATCTTTCCTAAATCATTTACTCTCCCCTAAGAGAACTTGCACCCCTTTCCCCCTTCCCTATTTAAGAAGCCTGAGTTCTTTTTTTTTTTTTTTTTTTAAGATTTTATTTATTGACAGAGATCACAAGTAGGCAGAGAGGCAGGCAGAGAGAGAGGAAGAAGCAGGCTCCCCGCTGAGCAGAGAGCCCGATGTGGGGCTCGATCCCAGGACCCTGGGATCATGACCTGAGCAGAAGGCAGAGGCTTTAACCCACTGAGCCACCCAGGTGTCCCAAGAAGCCTGAGTTCTTAATCCCCTTGGGGAGTTATTCCTTTTCCCCTGGGCCTTGCCCATGTACACCTGGGGCATTCAGGTTAATACATTTGTTTGTTTTTCTTGTTAATCTGTCTTTTATTACCAGGGTCTCAGGCAAGAACTGAGAAGGGAAGAGGGAAAATTATCTCCCTTTCTACCTCTCTTTTCTGTGTCTCCCCTGTGTAGCATCCATCCCTACTTCTGAATTGCAGACGTGGAGGTGTTGGTGAATGGGAAAGAGGAGCCTGGTGGGAATGTCAATAGTCTGGCAATGACAATTTCATGGTTTACCAGACCTTGCCCACCGCCTTCCCCATATTAGCAGCACGCCTCTCCTATAAGCAGGAACCATAACCAGAAATCAGACTACCCTTCTTCATTCGTGGGTTAACTCAACAAATGTTAAATTGGTGTTTTCCAGTCTACCTCTATGGGACAAAAGCAACTTCCTGACAATATAATAAATCCTAACCCTGATGCAAGCAATATATGAGGGGGGGGAACCCATTTCAGAGCATGAGATTATTACGATCTGATTCATGATTTTTTTTCTTTTAAAGATCAAATTGGTTTTATTAAATGATTCATGAATCGGGCGGCAACTAACAAGTAGAAGGGAGCGCCCCAACTCATAGTTTTTAAAAATAAAAAGATGCATGTATATGTTCTCATAATATGTAAATGCACAGAAAATGAAGTGTTAATGACAGGTATCCATGAAAAGGGTGGAGAGAGGGAGCCAAAGTTCCTGTTTTACTTTGTATACAGAGGTGTATGCAACAGGAATACCTTTGTGCATATGGGAAGCCACCTGTTACTACTTCAGATTCACCCGGCTTCCCAGCATCTTCTTCCAGCTTCCTGGTAGCCGGGTCCTTGTAGATGCAACGTAACACAGCCTTGCCCAGTGCCGCTCTCTGTCCATTCCAGGGTTTCTGTCCTTTTGTCGTGGTTCCCCGGCTGTCCCGCAGCATTGAGCAACCAGCCAAACACGTCAAGTGTCTTGTACAGGCTTTTCTCGCTCCCTACATTACAGTCCCACACAGATTATATCCTCTTAAACCTCTGTCTTGAGACCTTTCTGTTGAACCCAGGCTAAGAAAGTTTACTGCTTAGTTATTTTTTAAGTAAATGAACTGGAGCAGAAAGCAGCTTTGAGAGCAACTGGAAAGTTACAGACAGGCAGAAGCATTTCCGAATTAGAAATCCCAATTTACCTGGAACTAGGGTTTTCTACCTCTTTCCTTATTAAGGTCATGAAATCAAGGTCTGGCTCAAGAAAGGACCTGCACAAAGCACTGCCCCCTGATGAAAGCATCGCTATGATTTGCCGAGATTCAGACGTGAGGCTTAGCAGGGCGCCAAGGACAAAGTGCTCAAAGGAAGATAAAAGGAGAGCAGTATACTGGTAGTAATGCACTGTTGCTACCATTTAAAAATTAAAAATAGAGTCAAATTTCTGGATGACGGAGAAAACCCAGACAGAGAAAAACCAACCATATAAGAAATATACCTGAACTTAAATTTGTAGCTTTAAAAATGTCACCTTTTAAATTTGCACAGGAGGAAACACTGCTAAATGTTCACAGATGGCCGGCCCCACAGTCTTCTGGGCCCTGAGAGGTCACGTGGCTAGAGCCTAGTTGCGCAAGGTAGCAGGCCTGAGCCACTTACTGATTGTACTACCTTTGACAGCTTTTCCCTCTTTGAACCAGCTTCTTCTCTTGCAAAACAGGTTTAATAATACTTGTCAACTCCTTAAATGCCTGGGTTTTGTGCTCTGAGTTATTTAACTGACAGGTGTTATCAGAACAACTAATCAATTGCTTTTAGCTTCTTGACAATGACGTGCTTGTTACAGATTCTTAGAGATGATTCATACCAAAGGAAGGAATGACCTGGTGAAGCAGGGAAGCGAACTCTTTAGACCAAAGAGGTCACACCACCCCGGCTCCAGCCCCAAGTCGAGGAATAGGTTGCTT